TCCAGTGGTTTGATATTTTTCATCCAAAGACCAATCCCCGCCCGGCCACAACCTCCTTTCAGGGAGTTGTGGAGAGCAATAAGGTCTCCCCTCAGTCTCCTCCAGGCTAAACAGCCCCAGATCCCTCAGCTGCTCCTCATACGACACATACTCTAAATCCTTTACTAGCTTGGTAGTCTGCCTCTGTATCCTCTCCACTTTCAGGATAAAAGAAAAATAAAGAATAGAAAATACCCAAACCATAATGACTGGACTTCTCCTTACACTTTCTAATTAAAATAAGTGTTGTAAAAAACTGATTAGGAAAATGGAAATCCAAGAGCTTACATTGCAGGACCTACCACTGTGCAAGGAGCATGCAAGGGGCTGAGCACTCCAAAATTCACCCAAAAAATACTTTCATCTCATTTGATTATTCATATGCTTACTTTCCTACTTACGTATTTGCCTCCTAAATGTAACCTTTGTTTTCACCTTTTTACTCTCTCTCTCTCCTTCCACTACTCCATCTCCCACCTAAATTTGCAATTACTGTAAATTAGGAGCTCTAGTCTGAGGTGTGAATCAATGTGTGCTCATCGAGTCATATGCTATAAAAAGCGTAACAGTTGATTCACTCTGGGATATTTTTCTCCCTGAAAAGGGAAGAGATGCCTCTCAAATCATCTAGTTGGAACAAGAATGTGCCTTAGTTTTAACCTTTTTCTCTCCTTAGCAGCAAAGACAGAGATGAGTGTCAGAGGAGATCCATCATGCATTATAAATTTACACAGGTTGCACAAACAGTATCTTTCTGATTTTTATGAGAGATACAGGAAACTGAAAATTACAGTAGATAGGAGCAAACTAGATTAAGCAATCTGAAACATTTACTAGATGGAATGATTTGGCTCTGAAAGACCTTTTTCTGCTCAGCAACTATTTGCACGGCAGGAAGGAGAACTACATAGGTGAATTCAGATTAAAAGTCCCAGTGGAATCCCTCCGAACCCAGGCGCTCAGCAGCATAATTCAAAACCCATGCCAAGGGAAACAGAGGGTTGTACCATCTTGGCACACGCTATGCCATGCCTGCACATTCAGAAAATGGAGGACACATTCAAAACAAACAAGAAAGCTCGTGCTGCCGCTTAGTCAGTCATCTGGCTTCCCCTCAATGAAATGTTAGAGTAATTAAAAGCATATTTTCTCCTGCACAGTTTGCTAAATGGAATGTTTATCACAAGTCTATGTTCCACAACTGCATCCTGGAGCTCTAGCTATGAAAGCTGCTGGCATAAAGCTGCAGAAATGTGAGATCAGAGAATCATCTCTCCCGTTCATCAGCCCCAGATGGGTACATCACAGGCAGCTCTCCATGCAAGAACATACCAAGGCAATACCAATCTTAAGTCACTGCTGGGAATGATTCTATAGGATATTTAAACATCCAGCTTGGCTATTTTCATTCTGGCTGAATACCATGTGCTGCAACAAGAGGGAATCAAAAAACAGAGAAAGGAAGTGGGAGCTCTGTTCATTTGGGCTGCCAGGACATGCTCTTCCTTCCACTTTGCCTGGTCTTCTTCAAGACAGCTGAGACCTGCAGGCACTGGATTATGGGATACCTAAGAGACACTACTGAGCCCTACGTTAATCAATGGCCCAAGCAGGCAACAATGATCTCCCCAACACCCTTTGAGGGTTCAGCTCCTCTTCTGCCACCAGTCCTCCTGCTTTACAGGGCAGCAACTTGGACATACACACACCTATTTCCTGGTCGTTTGAGTGTATTCCACCTTGACGCAAACGGTCAGGCACACCTTCCATCAGTCTGGCATGTACCCTGCCACCTCTTCTTCCTCTAAGCCTGTCAAAGCTTCAAGACCAGCCAGCATTTCAGAACTTTAATGTATTCCCCACCTCTCTAACTCTGTCATCAGGACAGCAGGGATCACCATTCAATCTTAACAATCTCCACTTTATTTCTAAATGAATGTTAGCAATATGCCATTTTTGTTTCTAAAACAGGAAGCATTAAAACTATCAGGAGGGTTTTCTATAACATTCTGTACCTACGATGGCCAAATAATGAGCAGGCATATCCTCAGGCAGATCTTGCTATACTTCAATTCTAAGACAAAAGTCGTTTACTGAGGTTTGGGGGTCAGAGGGTGTGTGGGGGAAGTTAACAGTTATCACAGTTTCTTCTTCTGTCCAGATTTTCTTTTTGCCTTTTGGATGAATGTGGGCAATAGGCTGTAGTCCACCATGGGCTTTGTTTTTTTTGCTTTTGGTGGGGTTTTTGTGTTTTGGTGGTGTTGCAGGAAGCAAAAAGTTAAGAAGGATTCACAACATTTCATTACTAAAAAGAGGGGACACAGAAAGCTATTCAAAACCACACTGCAAAGTCAAACACTAGAAAACGCAGATCAACTTACTTGGAAACAAGAGAGAAAGCTGCAGAACAGATTGCTGGGCAGGGAACAAGTCTGATTAAGATGTGGCCCAAAGCGGCAGGGAAATGGGCTCGAGTCACTTTCTCAAACACAGAACTGAAGGTGTTGATGTCTGCCACCTTGCTGCTGTGGTCCCCACCTCCAGTGTCTAAGATGTTCCCTCCATGTAGGATCAAAATTAGCACATGAGTTTTGCAGTTCTGGTGTTGAACTCCTTCCTGTGAGAAAAACAGGGAATAAGAAGGGAAGAAACATTTTTATGGAAAGTATTGTTAAACTTGGTATCACCGTTCACAAGTGGTTAGCAGTGATTTTTTCTCCCACTCCCACTGTGATCTTTTTGTGGTGTTTGCCTTTGCCTGGGCGAGTGGGGGTTGTGCATGTGTGTGCCCTGTGTTCCATTTAATCCAAGTATGTCTGAACCAGGCAGAGCACACTATGCAGTACCAGAAAACCCTTGCAGCACAGATGCAAGTTTTAGTTCAATAAAATTATAAACAGTTCTGTGTACAAAAGAAGCTATTTTAAATATATTGAGATTGGAGAAGAATTCCAACAATCACAGACAGCTGAAATGCAAAGGTCTGTCTACTTATCATGAACAAGGCTGCGGCATTTACTGCAAAGGTTCTAACTCACATCATCACAGGTTCTAAGATGACAAATGTCTCTGCCAATGAAATTATCCAGCAAAAGTCGATGATAAAGTTATCTCAGCCTTTTGTGATTGGCAATTTCTTATTAAAATGTAAAATAGGGTTCACTTACCCAGACATTTAAAGAAAAAGTAAAAAATGTATCACTGCTAATATTTATAAACCTCACAAATACATTTCTGAATATGTGAATACACACACACACAGACAATAATCAGTGTGCTTCATCGAATAAACAAGATATTATCTACTTAGGACATAAAATATGTGAATGTCTAACAACTCTGCTTTGTTTTTTTCATTGTGAAGGCACTTTGCTGACCTGCCTTCTATCTGCTTAAGTATTGGATCTTATGAGAATTTTTAAGGTTCTACTTTTCCTTGCTCTAATTTACAATTTCCCTCTCCATATGGTCCCATTCCAGTTATTCAGAAGAGAAATTTCATTCCCCTTAAAAGCTAAAAGTAGCTCCTTCCACAGCCAATGCCAGCTTGTAAATAAGTGGCACTACTGATGGGTTGGTAGAACTGAAAGCTTCAAAATTTTCAAAGTGCTGTAGAATTGGAATTCTTCAAAAATGGAAAAGCAGACATTTCTGTTGCCTGTCCTACAGGTGGAGAGAGGACTTCAGTCAGTTAACTGGAAGGAACACAACTTGTTTATATTCTGTGCTGCTTCTAAAAAAAACAATTCTGTGACTGTGAGTTTCATGACTACTGCTGAATAGGCTTCCCAAAACTGGCATCTCCAGCCAACTGGGTCATACTGCCTAAGTCAATCATGCAGTGCCTAAAAATCTCCCGAAGATTTACAGTGATTACACAGGCTCCTACTGAACAAGGGAAACACACACTAAGCCACCAAACACAATATGAGAGTATTTCTACATGTCTACTCCTTAGAAATCAGCACAGCTTGTTTTGGGAAAAAATCTCACCTCATTGTCCTCATGAATTTCAATACTGCCTTGTGCTGGGAGCCTTTGTTTTCTTAAAGAGGCTCTATATAATTCACCTGAAAGGAAAAGAGACATAACTGATCATAGAAATATTTGATGCCTCCTCTTTCACAGACATCTATGAAGGCAAGGCATGTTTCTAGCTTCAAGACAGAAATATCTGTTCTCAGGAAACCCTGTGGACAAAAAGAACACCAGATAAGGTTTCTTGCGACCCAGTGTTAGAGGCTCTTCTGTTCTTAACAGCAACAATAACAAAAAAGATCTGTAGGATGACATTTGATGAGCACTGTTGTGAGCTTCGTTGTCATGTTCATACATGGGGCTGAACTCTTGCTTACAAATTAAGGGAATATTCCATATTCCTGTCTTTCACAGAACTGACGACACACCTACATCAGAGATGAGCAAAGCTTTGCCAAAAAACACACTGAAGTCCACTTACACTGTAACTTACAGGGTTCTACAATCAGATCCCGGAGCATCCATTTCTCAGGTAAAAAAAGAGGCGGCAAGAAGAAAAACATCACACTTCTGACTTGCTGTTGTCTCTAAGAAGTATTCCACTGGCCCCTGTGCTTCATTTCCAAACACAAGAACAAGAAAGTTTCTGCCGGTAGTCAGCATGGATTTACAAAGGGAAAATCATGCATATCCAACCCAATGGCCTTCTATGATGAGATGACTGGCTTGATGGATGAAGGGAGAACACTGTATGTTGTTTCTCTCAACTTTAGTAAGGCTTTCAATACTGTCTCTCATAATGTACTCACAGAGAAGCTGAGAAAGTGTGGCCTACCTAAGTGGATAGTGAGATGGGACTGAAAACTGTCTGACCTGCCAGGTAAGGGCTGTGACAAGCAGCACAAAGTTCAGCTTGATGCCAGTGACTAGAGGTGCACCCTACGGAGTCTACAGGACTACTGAGTCCTGTTTAGCATTTTCATCAGTGGCACAATGATGGGACAGAGCACACTCTCAGCAAGTTTGTAGACAATAAAAAAACAAGGGGAGCAGATGAACCACAAGAAGGTTATGCTGCTATTCAGAAGGACCTCAACAGGCTGGAGAAATGGGTCAAAAAGAATCCCAGAAAGTTCAACCAACTGAAATCTGAAGTCCTGCATGTGAGGAGAATAACCTCACTTAACCATACAGGCTGGGGACCAACCATCTGGAATGCAGCTTTGCAGAAAAGGACCTGAGGATCCCAGTGGACAACAAGCTGGCCTGGACCCAGCAGTGTCTCCTTGCAGCAGAGTGCCAGCTGCATCCTGGGCTGCGTTAAGCAAGAGCATCTGCAGAGGAAGGGAGGGGATCATTCCCTTCTACTGAGCACTGGTGAGACATCTGCACTGCTGTGCCCAGTTCTGGGCCCCTTAGTATAAGAATTTAGATTAGACAGAAGGAATAAACTCTTTACTGTGAGGATGGTGAGACTCTGGAACAGGTTGTTCAGAGAAGCTGTGGCTGTCCCATCCCTGGAAGTGTGCAAGACCAGGCTGGATGAGGCTTCGAGCAACCTGACTTAATGGAAGGTATCCTCGCCCATGGCAGGGGGCAGTTGAACCAGATGATCTTTAAGGTGCCTTCCAACCCAAATCATGATTCTATTCCTCCCTCCATGACACATACCATTTAGAAGTCAATGAGAGAGGACTGTACTAAATAATAATACCAAAGCGGTTTGCTTACAGATTTCTGGATTTAAACGCATTCTCCTTTGCTTCTTCCAGCACGTCAGAAGAACATAAATGCATCACATAATGCTACAGATGACTCAGTTTCCTTTTCTTGTGGCATTCTGAGTTCACACACTGTTCGTGGTTCCACTCCATTTAATGTAAGTTTATAGGCAGTCTCCTAGACCCTAAAGAGAGTGGACTGTAATTTTCACCTCACTAAGAATATTGATCAAGCAGGGTCTGGCCACATTATTCTGAAAGCACTGAATTTAGTCCAGAACACATTTTGTACAATCTCTATTCTTCTGCATTAAGACTGAGGGCTAATTCGACAGCATATTCTACCACTACCACTCCTTGCAGCCACTAGAAATTTATTCAACCTCTGTGGCTATTTTTCTTCATATTTAAAAGCAAGGTAATTACTCTTGCCCTTCTGCTAGACAAGGATTTAAAGGGTTAGTCATTTAATACTTGCATAAAACAAAACAATGCAACAACAAAATACCAGAAAACAAATCCAGTAGCAACAACACACACCCATAAACTCTGAACTTCCACCAAACATAATTGTATTCTGGAAGCATCTGCAATTTAAAGCTGCTTCTAATTAAAATGTTTCCAAAAGCTCACTTTTTTCTGAAGGTCATCACATGAAAAAGTGTCATTTTTTTAACAAACTCACAACAGAATCAGTACCACAGAAACATTTAAGTTCTGTGTCACTACAAAAGGACCATCTCATAGTGAACCGTAAGATTTATCTTCAAGAGCCTACTGAAACAGGAAACCCAGGGCACCTCGTCACATCCTCACAAACCCCTTCAGATACCCATACAGTGCAATGCTCGAGACAAAGTACGTCCTTGGACTACCTGGGTGCTGTTCCTTTGAAAATCCTGTTCTAAAGATACGCTTTTAGAAAGCAGAGAGGGTGATTTGCTTTTTCCCTAATGGATCAAACGCCAAGTTGCCTGATAGCTCCTTGCTTCGCACACACACGAGTGTCACAGATAACTGGACACTAGGGTTCTAGGCATTGTTTTAATAACAATTTCTGTTCTATTGTTAAAGTAGCCCTCCATCATAAAATTGGACTTCTTTCAAAACTGCTTTTTCACTTCCACTGAGAAAAAGAAAGAAAAAAAGCATCAGATCAACTTGCAGTATTAGACATTATATTGAAACAATGATGAGGGAGGGGCAGAGGGCTGTGTGTCACATGTGTGGCATTTTGACAGATTTGCTCATTGTACACTTTGCAAGATAATCTGACTTTGGGTCTACATAAGTTTAGCTTTATTATTTTCATTCAATACCAATAAATAGGGGACTTTCTCTACCATTATGACAATATAAAGGGTAAGACTGTTCAGCAGCTGAAGCTCTGCAGGAGGCAGAAATGGACAGCATGACCTACTATAAGGAAAATAACAGAAATTTAATTAGGCACTGAAATGAAACTGATTACGGAGAAATTACCTGGCTTACTATTTACTGGAAGGGCTTTAATGAAGTAAAATAATAACATGGACTGAACCTCGCTGATGACATTATCAACATTTTACAGATTTTTCCAGCTGTCTTGATTCATACCATTCTTATACCAATTTATGTTAATTGTATCATTATGTAAATTACAGTAACAAAAAAGGTACTCAAATCCCATACAGAGTCAGAAACCAGCGGGTCGTAATAGCTTACAGCTAGTGATGCAGTCACTAAAGGTCACGGTGAGATAAGATTAAAAACTTTCTGCTCACCTGTTTTGTCTTGTTTTTTAATTAACCTGCAAATGCACCAGCTATAGAGTCTGCTAGGTTTCTCAAATCTGGCACAAAGAGAGGAGACGTAGGAATAGAAGAACATGCTGAAATCTCATTTCTCAAGAAGGTCAGCTCCTCTGCAGGCACCCAAACCACGGGATCAGCAGCGGGCAGGTGGCAGCGATACCTACTTCCAACCGCTGTCCTAGTATCCAAGTTTACAACAGCAGCCACATCTCCAAACACACTGAGAGCTCTCAAAGCCTGCCTTTGTTACAATGTTTTCCCGGGAGCAGAACAGCTGAAAACCTCAATCTAGGCGCAGCTACTGAGCCACCCTACCCAGCTCTGGCTCTTATTCCTGAGCAGCGTGAATTCTTCATGCTTTTGCGTGAACTTGGCCCAGTATCACTGCATTCATTTCCTGCAGGCTACAAGCCAGAATGCAAACTCCTGCTACCTTTCTCCGAGATGCTTCTTCATCCCAAGCAGCACGGCAGGATATAAAAGTCACAATCAGTTGCTCTGCTTCTGAGGTGCGACAATCTCCTTCTCTTAGAAGGGTAAATAATCTTTGCCTCCAGAGACAAGACTGTCTTTTAGGGAGCTAGTCTGAGACTGAATTAACTCACCTCTCACAAAACTTTACACCTCCCACTTCCCCTGCGAGATGTCAGGGAACAGAGTTGAATGTACAGTAGCATGGCAATAAAAAAAGCAAAAAAAACCTCAAGAGAACAAGAAAGAGAATTCTGCTAAATCACAGGAGTATCTTCTTGCATAGAAAACCCCACTGAGGACAGAAAGAAAAAAATGCATGTCATATGATGGCTTTAATTTTTTACCAGTCATTATCCTACCTATCTGAGTAGGATAATGAGAAATAAAAACAGATCTTAAAACACCTTCCCCCTACTCCTCTCTCCTTCCTGGCCTCAACTTCCCTCCCAATTTCTCTACATCTTCCCACTGCAGCAGCGCAGGGAGATGAGGAACGGGGTTTGGGGTCAGTCCACTACACGCTGTCTCTGTTCCTCCTTCCTCCTCACACTCCGAGCTCTCAAACCTGTACTGCTTCTTCAACAGCAAAGTTTCAAAATCCACGCTGAATACAAGTGGTAGCAATTCTGCTATCGCTTCTTCAGGCGCAGTTTCTTCCCAAACTTGGGCTTATGCATTCATGTAATTGCATCAACTGCAGTGATCACAGGGAAGCAGCACTGACACTCTGCACTAAGCAATAGCCTCCCAGACAGCTCTGGGCAGCTGGCTGAGTAGTATAAGCACAGGGCTTATTAATTCAGTATTCTGGAACAGCCACAGCTGAAATACGGAATGAGGAAGGAGTACTTTCATTAAAGTAACACCACTAATTTTTAAAATGTTCCATTTCCCATTTCCTCCCCATGGAAATTCCTTGACATTTTAATATAAACTGTGCTCAGTGTTAATCCAGGCTCTGACAAACACCTTTCATATCTTTCTGCAAGCTTGTAGTCTGACACCAGCAACAGAAGTATCAGGGATGGAAAGAACAAAATTAATGCTATTATAGTCCAACTGCAACAAGTCAAATGAAAAGAATACACGTTTTCTGTTCTCTTTCAGAGGAGAGAAATCAAGAGAGAGAGGCTGAAGCCCTGGAGAAAGAATAAACCCTCTAAACTCAATCTGAAAACTGAAAATAGAAAATCCCATGTCTGGATGAAAATTTGTGACAAAATAGCATCCTGGAGACACATCTTGTAATCTGGGGCTAACCAAGCAAACCTGGAATACCTTGTAATCTTAATTAAAACAAGTGCTGAAATGTAAGTATTGTGAACAATTTGGTTTAGCTGAGGTCACAGTAGGTGCTCAACTATCACATAGAAATGGTGACCTCATTATTAAACACCTATGTCAACAGCATGAAATTTAGAAGTTCACCTTTTTGGGAGATCATCAATTGATACCATTTAAATCATAAGTTTGCATTATAACACTGGAGAGTTGGGCAGGGAATAACGTAATGAAATACAACAAGGGAAAGTGTAGAGTCCTACACCTGGGCAGGAACAACCCCAGGTTCCAGTGCAGGCTGCGGAACGACCTGTTAGAGAGCAGTGTAGGGGAAAGGGCCCTGGGGGTGCTGGTGGGCAGCAGGATGGCCATGAGCCAGCAGTGTGCCCTCGTGGCCAGGAAGGCCAATGGCTTCCTGGGGTGTGCTAGAAGAGGGGTGGTTAGTAGATCAGGAGAGGTCCTCCTGCCCCTCTCCTCTGCCCTGGTGAGACTGCATCTGGAATGTCGTGTCCAGTTCTGGGCCCCTCAGCTCAAGAAGGACAGGGAACTGCTGGAGAGAGTCCAGCGCAGAGCTGATGATGGAGGGAGTGGAGCATCTCTCTTATGAGAAAAGACTGAGGGAGCTGGGTCTCTTTAGTTTGGAGAAGAGGAGACTAAGGGGTGACCTTATTAATGTTTATAAATATGTAAAGGGGGAGTGTCATGAGGATGGAGCCAGGCTCTTCTCGGTGGCAAACAATGATAGGACAAGGGGTAAAGGAATCAAGCGGGAACACAAAAGGTTCCACTTAAATTTGAGAAGAAACTTCTTCTCAGTGAGGGTGACAGAGCCCTGGCCCAGGCTGCCCAGGGGGGTTGTGGAGTCTCCTTCTCTGGAGACATTTAAAACCCGCCTGGATGCCTTCCTGTGTAACATCATCTAGGTGCTCCTGCTCTGGCAGGGGGATTGGACTAGATGAGCTTTTGAGGTCCCTTCCAATCCCCAGCATACTCTGATACTGTGATAAAAACCAGCAGGAACTATTAAGCATTTTTTGCCAGGACAGTCACTCCACTATGTATCAGCTCACTGAGAAACACCCTAAATAGTTAAATGGCTCTTAACAATGTGCAGGTACCAAACCAAAGTGGAGGAGGTGCATAAAAACAGGAACTGACACTTATCCATACTGAACTATAAGGAGGACAGCTCACAGTCCTAAATTAAATGCAACCACATTACAGAAATTATACTGCTTTTCAATCTACCTGTCAATATGCAGGAACGGTAGCAACCATCTGAGCCAACTGATTCAACGACCAGGGAAGAGATTTACCGAGTATTTCTGGAGACAGAAACATACATTGCCACTGCAGGTACCAGTGACCCAGTACCTCTGGCAGGGATTGTTCAGGACTTGAATTTCCACTGGAATCTGCATATATAATTTATGTTGTATACGTTTGTCAGTGATTTACAGACACATGAATCAAGCTGTCAGTTTATAGCCTTTCCTGAAATAACTCATTGTCCAAGCAGTCTCTTCACATGGCGTACATCAGATCTCAAGATCAGCTGTAAGTATGAGAGGAGAGCCAGGTGAAAGGAAAAGCTCAGAGAGTGATTCAACACTCCAAATCAGCCATGAAAAGCATAAATTCAATCCACGATAAAAAAGAAGTAAATAAGTAGCCTGAATCTAGGAGGAAAGAATTCACATAATCATTCCCAAGCTTATGAGAACATTAAGTACAGTTCCAACCTGTAGTAAGAATCAAGGCAGGTCTTTATTTTTTTATTTTTTTTTTACCCCAGACCATTTCAAATATCCCTACTATTTTGCCGTGCTAACTACAGAGGAATCTGGAGTAAAAACCAAGAGAACTCACTTTAGGTACAACGCATAAGGAGGCGACAGCACTCAAAAAAAATTGTTATTTCCATTATTGCCCTCCCATGAGAAATTACGCTGTTTCTTGCCATCTGTTGTGCTATTACTAGCCATTTATAATGACAAATCCATCATAAGAAATATGTTCACATGAAGGCTGTAACATATGCTTTCATTTAACAAATGATAAAGAATATTGCAATACACTGCAGATGCAGTTTCGCAAACTGCACTCTTCAGAGGAAAATAATGAGCGTGACTGAGCCCAGTTCTGTTTTGGAAGCCACAACATGAAATAACGCCCGTATTAACTTCCACACTATGTCTTCATCAAATGAATCTTACACACACATGCTGCCAGATCTCACACACGACTACTGTGGAGCACTGGATGAACAGCAACACACAGGGCTTAGCCAAGGATCTAGACTCCCAAGCGCTCCTGAGCGCCAGTTCTCACACCAGGCAGATGAGCTCGGCAAAGCATGACTTCCAGAGTGGAAGGGGCGGGCACAGAGTGAAGGCATGTGCTTATAAACACAGCTGCAGAAATAGCAGACACTTCACTGGCAAGTCAGTGAGGGCAACCGACAATTGTTTCCAGAGAGAACTGTGACAGAACATCCTCATTAACATCACTTGTTTCTATAAGCCAATTTGCTCTCTTTAGCAAGCAAGGCAAAAGCACAGAAAGATCAGCAGCACAGTGACACGTGAACACACTCCTCAGAGTGGGGTACCAGCAGCAAAGGAACCTTAGCAATGCCAGGCATGGCACTACTTTTCATTCCTACAGCACTAGGAAACTTTAACAGCTACACCTCTTGCACCTCTTTAAGCAGGGATGGGAGAACAAAGTTCAGAGCACAGAGCACTGAAGGCTTCTACATTGCAAACTGAGCCGCTTTGTACCACCTATCATGTACACCAGCAGTTTTGCCCTCCAATGCTTCACCTTTGCCATTCTAGCCAATGCCATAAGGCGCTATCCAATGCATTAAATAATGTTACAGACATTTTCTTGGTACATTTTCATAATCTGCATTAAAAATAAATACATTTAAAACAAAACTCAAAAGAATCCTGGTCCCTCCAGATCCATCTCCTTCTGAACATATCACAAGACCTGCTGGTTAATATCTCTGTTCTGTTATTATCTCTAGTTGTTGAACAGCCTCAGCACAAAGGAAAACGCAAACTTCAACTCACGTTGCTTTTCCTGTAGAAAGCCAGATGAGCAAAATGCAGACTCTTCACCTGCAAAACAAAAAATCACAATGTGAAACAGGATTCTTTACATGAACATTAAGCTCTTTACTCTTTCTAGCATATTTCAATAAGTATTTTGCAATTGACCACTACGCTAATTTCTAAAAATCTCATTGGCTTCAGTGGGAATAGCTCAGCATATGACACGCTTGAAAATTGCTCTAATCTATTGATCAAAATGGTTAGTCTAGAAGACACATGTTACTCTTCATTTCAAGAAAGGCATCATAAGCAATGAATGAAATGTAGCTAGGAATCTATTACCTGTAGCATGAGCCACTGAATCCCTAACAGCTAAAAATTAGCATGATTTATCTAACAACACAGAACAGATTCTTATTCAAAATATTTAATTAGCAGTGTTTTGAAGAATGTCTCTGTCCTTCCATTCCCTCCCACAGCCCATCTGTCCAAGGCAAATTACAAGTGCAAGGGATTTTCTCAGATCTAAACACAAAGACCTGAAATGCAGAGACACAAGGATACTGAAATAGAAGGGTCTTTATCAGTTTGTGCATATAGATAAAGGCCTCCTACAGCACTCAGGCTATTTCTACCATGGAGGGTAAATATCTTTGCCATCACTCCACCACGACAGAAATGAAAGCTCAGTGGTACCAGCCCAGAGCTACCATCAGAGCTGAGATGGGAACAGAGGTCTCTCGGTACCTTCTCTAGATTCCTTTTTCAGAGGCCCAGGCAGTATTTACTCTTTTCCCACTCATGACTGTCATCTGCATGCAAGTTACTAGGGGAAAAGTACTATCTGCAATGGTTCTCAGGGAGACTGACTGTTGAGTCAAAGCAGCCATCAGACATTACCTTGGGAAGAACCTGTGAAGCTCTCAGTGCTTTGAGCTCACCCAGACTGCAACAAAGAACCATGGGCCATTCGCTCACTCCTTAACCAGTACTTTTCGGGATGGGGAAGCAAAAATTCAGCAGAAGGCTTGAGGATCAAGAATAAGGTCAGGTGCACTCACCCCCATCCCTCACCGACCTTAGAGACCGCATGGTTGCTCTCCTCACCCTCACCTCTCTTGCCTCCACAAAACAAACAACTCCCCAGTACAAAAGACAGGACAAAGAGTCCAGCCCAACAGGTTTCCCCTCTGAAAATACACTGATTGCAGAGGTGCTGCTTGGCCTGGCCTGGCCTGACCTTATGTGCCTCTGCACCAGTGAGATATTCGGGGCATCCTACTTTGCCTTCTTCCCCACACACCTGGTCTTGCAGCGTTAGCTACTGGACTGCCGGTAGGTTTTATGGCACATGTGACCTTCTGCAGCTTAATCACCTGAATTAATTTTACAAAACACACCACGGAACAAACAATGCCCATGCTCCACTTTAGAACCTGGCTTTCGCCTCAGCAAGAATACTGTGAAATAACTTCTGAATAGTCTGTTTTGTTAGTATTTTTTAATGCCACAGCAAATGTAACATTGTGACAGGCAACCGTGAGCATAATTACGTCAAACTTGGGAAAGTAACACGAGAGGAAAGGAGATAATTTACCTACAGATAGTATGACCATCTGCATGGGAATGGCAGCCAGGAAAATTCTAGGCCCAGTGAAACATTCAAGAAGACATGCTGATTTCAGCATGTGGACCAGAAAAGGAGTCTGTGGAGGGGCTGCAAGGAAAGCAACACTCTCTGCAGCAGGACTCGGCTCTCACTTAAAAAATATCTTAGTAGCTAGTTTAAGCTTCATCCATTTTACATGTATTTGCTGAGCAGTATTCTAGAACTTACAACAGCATGAAATTAAATGAAATTAAATGTTGCAAAACACTGGTAACCTGCCCTAGTGTAAATGGCTACCATGGTTGATTTGCAGAAATCCAGTTCGCTGTTTCTCTCTAAAACCTGCTGCTAGAAGTAAATCTATACAAGCCATCTGATGTGTTTTGGAACGCTGTTGACTCCTCTAGCTTCCATCCTTCCCTTTCACTGTTCACTCCACTAAGCCAAATTTTCTGTTTGCCATACTTCGCATTATTAAGCAGTGGCAGATGCTCTTGCAATATATTTAACAGCAGCATAAACATTACAATCAGCTATGTGTAAACAGCCTTTAATTAATCATATGACTCTACAAGGACAAGGAGGGGGAGAATTCTCTTGGAAAAACTACCTGCTCATGGCTTAGATGAGCATACGATCTGCTGGATAAAGCACAGGCTGGATGGACAGGCCCGAAGAGTGGTGGTAAATGAATTTAAACCCAACTGGCAGCCGGTCACAAGTGATGTTCCCCAGGGCTCAGTACCGGGACCATTTCTGTTTAGCATCTTTATTGATGATCTTGGTAAGAACATAGAGCGTATCATCAGTAAGTTTGCAGATGACACCAACTTAGGTGGGAGTGTTGATCTGCACAAGGGTAGGGAGGCCCTACACAGAGACTTGGACAGATCAGATCGATGGGCCGATGTTAACGGCGTGAGCTTCAACAAGGCCAAGCGCCAGGTCCTGCACTTGGGCCACAGCAACCCCTGCAATGCTACAGGCTCGGGGCAGCGCGGCTGGCAGCTGTCTGGCAGGACAGACCTGGGAGTTCTCATGGACAAGCAACTGAAGAGGAGCCAGCAGTGTGCCCAGGTGGCCAAGAAGGCCAACGGCATCCTGGCCTGTGTTAGAACTACCGTGACCTGCAGCAGTAGGGAGGGGCCTGGCCCCCTGTACTCAGCACTGGTCCTTCCCATGGGGTGCAGTCCTTCAGGAGCAGACTGCACATTCACAACAGATCCGAGTAACCTGGTCTTGTGCAAAGTGACCAGGAAAAGCCTTTCACTCACCTGATAGGAAAATTTCCAGTTGTGAAAGTTGATCATGTCCATCTATTTTGCTGGTTACCAGTAAAGTAATCCATCAGTCTGTATGTGTGGCATACGAAGCACAGGGAAAGTGAATTTCAGAAGCATTTTACAATTAGTTTTAAACAACTAAAAATTAAATTGCATTTTGTCAATTGCCTACCTGAGAATTTATCCCCATTAAGCATTTTAACTAATTTAGTTTGTGTTGGAGAGTAGAGCAGTAGCATATTGCTGATGAAATTAACTAAGGGCTGTTAAAATTTAATTAGGGAATATTAAATCAACAGTCACACTTTGTGGGAAGCTGTATTACAGAAAACTACCTTTTTATTTGTTTGCTTGCTTGCCTTTTTTTTGGATGGATCGCTGGTTGGTTTTGGCTTTGGTGGTTTTTATTAAGACCTTCATATTGGGGAAGAAAAAAAGAAAAAAAAAAGGTTGCAAGCCCAGGGTATGCACCAGATTTTAGAATGTCTTTCTGGCTTCAGGCATGAGAAGCATATTGACAATTACAATCCTATCAATTTAAGGATGCTGTGATTGGGAAACTAAAGATGACCGCCTTAAGTCTGTTGTACAAATTGAGTTTCAAAACAAAGAAACAGTCAAGGTTCACTGCGGTTTTGCCTGTTTCACATTTTTAATGTATTTGTGGAGTTTTTTAATGTTTAGACTTTGGAAAATGCAAATGTATTAAAACCAAACTATCCATAGAAATATTACCATTTTTTCCCCCCCGAGAGGACTTCAAAAGAGACAAACTCACTGCAAAACAGCAAGTAGACAAATGTTTACAGAACCCCTCTTAAAGAAGCCCAAGTTCAAGCCCCTTCTACAAATCTGGTAGAACACAAATCTAACCCATTTTACACAAAAGTTAAGTAATTGTATTAGGTTTGCGTAGCAAGGTCTTGGCAGCATGGGGCTACAGGAGTGGTTTGTGTAAGAAGGCAAAAGGAGCTGTCCCCATGACCAGATGGAAGAAGTAACAGAGAGGAATGGAGAAGAGCAGCACTAGTAACAAGACAATGCAGTCCTTAACGAACTGAGAGCTTGAGTAACTTCAGAACAGTCTACACACAATTTTTATTCCGCAAGGCAATTTTTTGATTGTGTATGTTCACACTGTTCTTCCTTGTTTTTCTTGGGGAAGAGACACAATCAGCAGTTAGAGTCTAGCAAAGAGCTCAGCAAATCAAAAATCCCTACCAATTACCTGCAATATGTAGCGAGAATGACTGCACTGCGAGACACCACCACCTCCATGTTAAAGCCATTCACAGGCTTGAACAAAACACCTTTTTGTTTCTCCACACCAAATTTGGAGGAAAACAAACAGTAAATAGGAAATGGTAAAAAGACCTCTCCATTTCAATACAGCAGTCTTTCCCATTCTGCCATGATCAGTCAGTCCTGGGCGGAGGATCTCACTATACCAAAAAACAGCAGCAGGAGTGCAGCCTGCAGCAAAAGGAGCATTACTGTGGTGACAAAAGGGACGTGTACCTTTGCTGATCAGCTTGACTGTTTGCATTGTCATTCTGCAAGCACCTTAGCCATTGTGAAATTTCTCCACATTTGTACTGAGGTCAGCTATAAGGGGAATTCTGTTTTTAACTTGCTGCAGATCACAGAATCACAGAATCATTATGGTTGGAAAGGACCTCCAGGGTCATCAAGTCCAACCTTTTTCCCAGCATTTCTCTACACCATATCCTCAAGCGCAACATCTATTTGTTCTTTAAACACCTCCAGGGATGGCGACTCCACCACGTCCCTGGGC